ATGGTGGAATATTTCCTTCTGTGTTTTATAATTTGGGAAATCCAGTTTGACCTGGGCTAAAGGTGTGTCCTTCCAGAGAAGTTTTGTTCCCTTTTAGGGGCCCCAAGACATTATTCTAGGATCACTTTCTATGTTAATTTTTTAGATGTAGGTTCCAGGACTACTCAGGTGTAAATATGAACCCCAAATCTGTATGAGGCCAAATCCATAGTCACAGCCTTTCAGGGGTTACTTTTTTCCTTTCCAGCCCTGGCTAAGACAGGGCTTCTTTATCATTTCCCAGGGTTTGTGAGTAGGTTTTTTCTGGATCACCATTTTTCTGAATGTATGGTCATATTCTTATGGGGCTACTCAGTTTCGACCCCTACTCACACTGTCCCAAGGTTGAGTGCCTTGTCTCTACATGCTCATTAAAATCCAAGCCTCCAGATTATGCAAATCAACACCTCCCCACCCTACCCACGGCAGCTATAGAGCCATTTCACAAGTTTACTGCTATGGTTTTTAAGCTTCTTTTTGTTTTTGGCACTTCGGGTTTCCGTTACAGTAGCCCCCTCTTATCTATGGGGAATACGTTCCAACAAGGCTCCTAGTGAGTGCCTGAAACCATGGATATTACTGAACCCTATATATACTATGCCTTTTCGTAAATCTACATACCTCTGATAAAGTTTGATTTATAAATTGGGCACAATAAGAGATGAACAACTTCTCTTTGTTATATATTTGGCTTCTCTTTGGCACATCTGTATTGCCAGCATCATTACTCTTCTGCTTTGGAGAATAACAATTAAGTACAATAAGGGTTACTTGAACACAAACACTGTGATACCACAACAGTCTATTTGATAACAGAGATCGCTAGTAAATGACTAATGGGTAGGTTGCATATAGAGCACGATACGCTGAACAAAGGGACAATTCATGTCCCCAAGCAGAATGGAGCAAGACAGTGTGAGATTTCATCGTAATACTCAAAACGGTGTGCCATTTAAAACTAATAAATTGTTTATTTCTGGAATTTTCTATTTAATATTTTCACCTCATGGGTGACCATGGGTAACTGAAACCATGGAAAGCAGAATTGTGGATAGGAACTACTGTACTTTATCATGCACTTAGCTACGTAATTCAAAGACTGTTTGCTGTATCTTAAATTGTTTATTAATAGGAGACTTTTCAGATTTTCTTGTCCATAATATTGCTGGAAACAGAAGTTTCATTTGCCTTTTATCTTTATTTGTGTGATGGGCTAAAAAGTTAGTTAAATCTATCAATCTTCTCCTTTATGGAATTTGTCTTCAGACACATGCTTAGAAAGGCTTTTCCCAAGCTGATTATTTACTCATGCTTATTTTTATGGTATTATTTCTTAACACTTAATATTTAAACTACCTAGAATATATTAAATGCAATAAAATCAAAACCTTACATACTAGCAATAAAGCTATTCAAACAGAACAAAATATAGCTATAACCCAACTACACTGCCTGTTATCTATAATTTAATGACAAGTTTAATACAACTGCAGTTTAGCCACAACTTGCTGACCCAGTGAAGCCACCAGTGCTGTTCATCACACCTAACTTGCTGCTCAGTCCAACCCAATGGTCACAACCTGATAAAACCACACTCAACTGAAACCCTGCATAACTACCATCTGAAGACCACCCAACATTCCCAACAGTGCCATGAGACTTCTACCCACTGAGATGTAGCTTTCCCTTCTGTTTGCACATAGAAGGAAAGAAAAGTAAAATTACAGCAAGTGGACTCAAATTGGTGAAAAAAATCTCAATAGGCCCTGCAGAGAACTATCTAGAGTCCTGGGTTTGGAAAGTAAGAAGAAAAGAAAATCCTCATACCCCACAGTGTGAGAGACCTACCTGCCTGTGGGGGTCACTTGAACAGCTGGGCCTGGGACAGGCTGGGTCTGCAGTAAGAGCAAGCTTAGATCAAATGGGGCCATAAGTCCCCCTACCATCCTCACACCAACCTCAGTGGTGATCTCAGAAGCTCCTTTTTGAGGCCAGTGGGCTCATGGCAACTCTGCCCTGGGATCCTCTAAAGATGAGCTGACTCTGTTTACCTGGACTGATCCAATATGGACCTGTCCTGGGAGTTGAGAGATGCCCAACTCTGCCCCTGCCATGTCATCCCTCTGGTCTCTGGGCCTCGGTTTCCCTATCCGTATAATAAAGAGGCAGGACTTGATTTAGTATCAAGAAAAAAAAAATCGGAATTAGAACCCAGACATTCTGACTTCCAGGAGCAATCTAACAACAACAACAATAGCACAGCTATCATTTGTTTTGAGTGCTTACTGCTTATCAATCTATGAGCCAAGCAGATTATAGATATTATCTTATTCAATCCTCATTACCTTCCTATGAGGTTGATATTGTCATACTAATTTCCCATTTATTGAATTCAACAAATATTTATTGGGCCAATTACTGAGTAAATTGCTTGAGATCAGCTAGTTAGTAAGAGCTGAGTCAGAATTCAAATCTGGCTCTGCCTGATTTACTTACTACACCCAGCTATCCATCCACCCATCCATCCATCCATCCATCCATCCATCCATCCATCCATCCATCCACCCACCCATCCCTCCATCTTTCCCTCCTTCTATCCAACCATTCATCCACAATTTCCCCCATCCAACAACACTGATGCAAGCTCGGTCCATAAGAGAACTACCTCCTGCACACACTCTCCTCCATCTACAAATTACAAAATCTCAAGTCTCCACACATTTCAGGTTTACCCCCAGCTCGCTTTTGTTTTCTGGACTGTGAACATCTGCATAAACTTTTCACTCCACCCTCCCACTCCAAATCTACATTTCTCAGCTCCTTAGAAGCCAACCTTGAGATTCCCTCCCTCCTCCAAGATGTCTTCTATGATGATTCCCACCCTCAAAAGATCCTTCTGTGTGCAGGATCCTTTCTCCCTTACCCATGAAGGCTGTGCCAGCTGCCTGAGGTTCCCTCCTGCCAGGATGCCCATTTTATAGCCAGCTGCAGGTGGCTCTTACCAGGTTTCCGACCTGCAGCATCTCCTCGAATTCACTTGTCATGTTGTAGTGCTCCAGCGCCATGAAGAGTGTGTTGAGCACGATGCACATAGTGATGGTGAGGTCAGCAAACGGGTCCATGACCACCAACTTCACTCCCTGCTTGATGGACATCCACAGTGGGCAGCACTCCCAGATCAGGTAGCGCTGGGCGAGGCGGTTCCAGCATGGTGGACACTTGCGGCGAGACTCCTCTAACTCTGAGGGGACAGCCAGTGAGTTAGTTTGATTCTGTTGACTGAGCCATATGGATCTGGAATACCTTCCAGAAAAGATTTATGACTTGCTTTGGGAGATGACAGGGCTGCTACATGACAGTGGGACAGTGGGGGCAGCGAAGGCCGAGGGAATGGGTGGCTTGTGTCTTGGCTCCTTAGTCTGGAAATATGAGAGAAGAGGGCCATAGGGACAGGAAACAAAGATGGAGGCGGGGAAAATGGGGACAGGAGAGATTAGTAGGACAAACGTACAACTGCTTAAGACAACAGTCCCACATAGACCTGGGGACACTCAGGGGAGGACAGGCTGAAAATGATGAAACAGTAATGGGGACAGGCAAGTTCGGGCACAAGGACACCTGGGACAGAATGGGTAGGGACAGATGTGGACATCTGGGATGTGTCAGGACAAATGGGAGAGGGGATGCCGAGGACCGGCTGGAAAAGATGAGAATACATCTGAGATAGGAGGGAACAAGATCAGGATGGGGGGTGCCAAATTCAGACTGGAAGGGATGTGGAGTTGCCCAGGGCAAGAATGGCTGGGAAAGATGTGGGATGCCTGGAATAGCCTAAAGTAGATATGGGAATAGCTAGAACAGATACGGGTGTGCTCAGGACAGGATGGTCCTAGACAGACATGGTTATGGTTGGGAGACGATGGAATGAGACTGATAAGCATCTGGGACAGGCCAGATGTGGGAGTGTTTGGGAGAAACACAGACATGGTGATGCCCAGGAGAGAACAAGCGACACAGATGAGAAGAGACAGAAGGACAGGCAAGGCTCCACAGAACAGAGAAGGCTGGGACAGTGTGGGGATGTCCAAAGCAGGCCAAGACAAATGGGGGATGCCTGGATCAGGCTGGGATGAAGGTAAGGGTGCCTGCAGCAGAGGTGGGGAGTATTTAAATGACCTGGGGGTGCTGACCTTCCAGTGCGCTGGTGAGGACACTGACTGCGCTGAGAGCCCGCTGCCGTGCTCCTGGCTCCTCGAAGCCATCTATACATGGAACCTGGGGGGTCAGCATCTGGGGCCCGCCTGGCTCCTCCGATGGTGTGGTCTGAGTGCAATCAGGAGATTTGCGTCAGCCTGGGGAAAGGGGTCCTGCCTCTAGCTCTAGTCCTGCTGGAGCTGGGGTGGCCAGTCCAGACTCAGGCTGGGGATGCCATCAAGATGAAGGTCTTGATGGGACACTGGATGCTGGGCTTCTCTGTTCCCAACTCCCTCCCAGTTAAGAACTCCCTCCACCCCTCCTGCCAATCACTGTCTCCTTCATTCTCGTTTCTTCTTCACTGCCTCTCATCAGCAGTGATTCCTGAGTGTGGTCAGGAAGCTACATATATCACAGGTCCTCCCTGAGCCTGATGCTGTCATACACATTAGTACATGCAGAAATGATCTGGGAGTCTTAATTGACCACAAGCTTCCTAGCGTCAAGAGCATAAAGAAGCTGAAAAAAAAATCTAACATGCTCTAAGATAATGCTAATAGAAGGATAAAGTACAATGCTTCCACGTGGCTGGTGGGAGGCTGTGTCTTTTGTGGGGGCAGTTAGGCTGGATTTACCAAGAAAATTTTAAATTGGCCCTCCAAGTCCTCATCTGGTAATCTAACTTCATAAATAATTACATATGTGCATCAAAAATACACATAAATGATGTTCATTGCAGCACTGTTCCTAATACCATAAGAACAAAACAACCAATCAATAGCAACCATATTCAAATCAATTATAGACACAATCCAACTCTGGGCTCTGATAGACAACAAAGTGAATGAGGCAGTTCTTTGTATGCTCCCATGGGGACATCTCCAAGGCAAACAGTTTGATGAAAAAACAAGAAAAAGATCTGGAAAATGCATACCAAATGATTAAAGTGGACATATCTGGGGAATGGGATTGTGGGGGAGGGGAAAGAGAGGGAGAAGTTCCCTTTTCACTTCCGCACTGTGTACTTCTGCACTGTGGGGTTTGTTTTCACCATGCATGCACCATTTTTATCAGTATAAAACCCAGGCCTGGAAACAGCCCTGATGAAGGGAGGTGGCAGGCAGGCATTCTCTAGGCTTGCCTGGAGCCTCCCACAGAACCAAGGAGGGCCAATAAAGCCTTCACTTCAGCAGGGCCCTGCATGACCACAGCCCAGCATGACCACAGCCCAGGCGCTGAGCTGTTCAGCATGCAATAGCAAGACTCTGTAATCTTCGCAGGGCAGAGGGAAGATGGGCCTAGACTACCCAGGGTAGAAGAAGCAGGGCATAGGGTGGGTACCAGATAGATCTGGGCTCAAGTTAAGGACATCCCGGCCATTGGTAGGACTGCTCTGAAATGTTGCCTAGGGAGGTAGTGAACTCCAAGTCATGGAAGTATTCAAGTGGAGGCACCTGAGAGGGCTGAGGTGGCTGGTGCAATGGTACTACCCTGGGTCCAACGCAACCATGAATTTGGCCAGCTTAACTCACAAGCAAGTTTTAAATTTTCCCAACTTCTCCCCTCCTTCTTTGCCATCTATGATAGTTTGGTTATCACTTGGCACATATGCACTCTCTTTCCCCTCCCACTGAGGGTGAATTAAACTTCCCTGCCCTGGGCATGAATGGCTTTCTTTGGACAACAGAATGTTAGTGGACACGCTGTGAACAGAAACCTCAACTGGGCTAGTGCTGTTTATCTTGCTCTTGTGCTCCAGGAATTCTCCATGAAAAGAGCTTCCCCAGGTAGCTGTCACCCTTCCAGCCTGGGCCTCAGAACAAAGACGTGGAGCAGCCCTGAGCCTAACCCACAGCATGGAGCCCAGCCCAGCCAGCGTGCAGTCTGGAGCAGGGCTTCCCAGCTAAGCCTAACCTACATGGGCCACGCTGTAGTCAACCTGCAGATGAGTGAGCATGAGAATAAAGGCTTGTTGCTAGATATTGACTTCTGGGGTAGTTTGCTACACAGCGTTATTATGACAGTAGCCGACTAATACACTATCCTAGTCCAGGTGGTCATCATCCCTTTCCCAAAACCACTACAACAGCCTCCTAACTGGCTTCTTTTCTTCTTCTCGTCCCTCTATTCTCTGCATAGTAGAAAGGGATTCCTTTAAAAAGTGAATCAGATAATGTCACTCCTCTGTTCAACAACTCCTCCCATCCTACTCCTCCCCATCTTACTCACACAGTATATCCAAACTTTTCTATGGTCTAGAAGGTTCTGCACAGTCCAAATCCTAACTCATGAAACTCATTTTAATGTTTCACCACACCTGGCCCTGTTAGTCACTCTCATCCCTTGGATGTGTCCTCCTCAGGGGCTTTGCACTTGCTATTCCCTCTACCTGAATGCTATTCCTCTGCATCTTTAGGGCTGGCTCCCTAAAATCATTTGCCTGTCAATTTTAATGTTACCTCCTTGGGAAGGCCTTTCCCAAGTATTCTAATAGTCCTCATCCTCATCTCTCCCCTTAGCAACTTGCTATCACATGACTTATTGCTACCTGAAAATATTGATTAGTTTACTGTCTTCCTAACTATGGTATAAACTCCAAGAGGACAGTGATCTTGCCTTCTTTGTTTGCTGATATAACCCTGGAGTCTCAACACTGCCTGGCACTCCACATGGCAGGCTGGCACTAGATAAATATTAGATGGATGGATAAATTCTTGGGAATCAATCAGAAGGCTTGGGTTAGAGTTCCAGCTCTGTTCCTAACTTGCTAGGTGGCCACAGGAAATGAGGATGAAGATTTAACATGCAGGGGGAGAAAAGGAATGGATATTCAGTGTGCGTCTCCCACCTACATCTAGACTTTTGGAACCAGGCAGTCTCATACGAGCAGAGGGCAAAGTAAGTCTTCAGTCCCTACCTCCCAATCTGGATAAACTGAACATGAGCTGTCTGCTGGGCTGGCCCTTCCTCCCCATCCTTGTTGATTAGGCATCCACAGTGTGCCCAACACTGTGCTCTGTTTTCAGACTAGAACTGGGCAGGAATGTGTCACTGGGGACCCAGTGAAAGCACAGAAGGCATTCCCAGGGCCTGCAGCCTGCTAATCTCTTTGACTCTTCAAATGTCTCCATCTTGGTTCGCTAATTCCTTTAACTTTGCAAATGACCCTGTCTTGGCCTGCTAATCCCTTTAAGGTTACAAATGGGCCCCACAGAAGTGAGAATGGGTGAAGTCAGAATTCCTGGTAATGAAGTGCTTGAACTTGGATTCCTCCCGACATGTGCAGTACAATGAGATGATTTTCTCCTTAACGAGATTAGGAAATTCTATTAGCGCTCGCAGCTGCTGACCTGATTCCATGAGGCTGAAGCTCCAGGGCTGAACCTGCCTGGTTTAGTGTTCCTGGAAGCTAGACACCCCACCCTTCAGATGGGCCAGGGCCTCCCCAGCTTTACCTAAAGCTGTGGTCTGCCCCCAGGGGTGCCCAGTTTCCTCCCTTCACACTGTGCTCCAGAGGAGTGTGGGACCCTGGGCATTCTGCAATGTGCCCCAGGAACCTCACTCCTTCCTGCTCACTAATACTGATAACAGATAATACTGATGACTCCAACACCAGGCAAGTCCGGGTCTCAACACTGGACCTAGTTGCACTCTTTCAGTCCTCACCACAACTTGCTGGCGTATAATTTTCACTTTACAGATGAGGAAATTGAGGCACAAAGAGATTAATTAACCTGTACCATGTTCCACAGATTGAGCAAGAGTCTGAGTGGCATGAAATAAGCCATGCGGCTGGGAGCCCTGCATCTTCAGGCCACCCTCCACCTTCCTGGTCAAGCCTCCCATCCGTTCTACCTTCCTCTCCAAGTGTACCCTGCAGGCCTTGGGGGCTGAGCCAGATGTTCAGCTTTTTCCTGGGTGGGCTGCTCTGGTCAT